GCGGTCACTCGTTAACGTTAAACCGGAACACCGGCGCATCTGGTTGCAGGTTGTTTTTTTTTAACTCAAAGTAGAATAAGGATGATTTCGTGGTCAGAATAACTTTCATGACCACGAAACATGAGGCCCAGATACTGATGAGATGATGAGGTCAAAGAGCTTCAGGAAGAGGAGGCTGGTTGTTTAGCGCAGCTTGACGCAGGGCTGAGATGTGAGTGGAGCTGGGCCTGGATAAAGGTGGAGCTGGGCCTGGATAAAGGTGGAGCTGGGCCTGGATAAAGGTGGAGGTCTAAACAGACGTGAGTACAGCTTCCTGCTGTCACAGTGTTTTAAATACAGTGATAAGGCAGGGTATGCTGAATGCAGCCTCTGCTCCAAGGAGATGAACTACAGCAACAAGGGCTCGCATGTCCTCTCATCACACTGTTCACACTGTTCACTGTGATGACCACAGCCAGTGTACCAACAGTCCCACGTTGCTCCCAAGAACCCTGAAGTAATGACAGGGTTAAGGAGCCTGTATCTTCATTTCAGCGGGTTGCTAATGCAGAGGTGTGTATAGATCACAGCTATTATTTTACTCTAGATAAGGTACTTTAGCCAGAGTAGATTATCATTTTCATTGAAATAATTGAACTGGATTGAATGCATATTAATTGTAAATAGAAGACTGACCACAATTCTAACAGCTTTAGAGTAACAGTGGAAGTTAATATGAAGCCATACAGTAACAGGGTTCAATGAAAACGAATCACTTTATTTGTACAGGTTCTCGCTACTCTTGCTATTGTTGTTTTTATATGACTAAAACCTTTGAAAATGAGACCTCGGTCTCAATTGATTTTGTCTAAATAAAGGTTAATAATAATAATATTGATTTGAAAAAAAAAAAGCTAACTAGCCAGCTGTTGAACTAGATAGATCAATTAGTTTTTTGCTTAAAGTAAATATTGTCCTATCACTTAATTTGATTCTCAGAGTACATCAGAATGCTACATGTTAAAGCTCATATTTAAAATGAGCTTTAACCTGTCTCTTCCAGTAGTGGAAGGGACAGGAGGCATCAGAGGAGCGGAGCCGACGGGATGGAGTGTGGTGGTGAGGTAGGAGGGGGCCTGATTGTGGAGGGCTTTATGAGTGAGGAGAAGGATTTTGTATTGGATCCGTTGTGGGATGGGGAGCCAGTGGAGGTTCTGGAGAACAGGGGTGATGTGGTCATGGGAGTGGGTGAGCAGGCAAGCAGCAGAGTTTTGGATGTATTGTCGTTATCATTTGTCTTTCTCTTTAAATAATGCCTACATACCGTAACGGGTTTCATCCACCACCCTTATCCGTCGTCATAGGTTACAGGGATGACAAAATGCTCCAAAACTTGCGACTTGAATGATGCGGGGCGCTTCTCAAGCTCCTCCGCTCGCCATGACTTTTGCCATTAAATGCTTCTAACATGCTCCGTTCACGTGAACACACTACTGCTTTATATCTCTTCACTGACACTCTGCATTGATTTTCAGGGACTTGTTACTTGAAAAGGAACAGCAGCAGTAAAACTTTATTACACACTATGATGATTCCACTGTAAAAAAAAAAGAAATACTCAATTGATCCGCGGTTCACGAGTGATCCGAACCGTGAGGGGTGATCCGAACCGTGAGGGGTGATCCGAACCGTGAGGGGTGATCCGAACGGATCACGGATCGACCCGTGAGCCGTTACACCACTACTGTGCAGTAACAGCACCGGTTGTGAAACACTTATGTAACGTGACATTCATGTTGAGCCTGAGGAGGACTGACTCGTTTCTCTGACATCATGATGACATTGTTCTATGTCATTAGAATAAAGATGAATAATAAAGTAGCCTCTCTCTGATTGGGTGTTTCCTGTCCGCTCTCTCAGACGTCCCTGTGTGGTCTAAGCTTCAGTCGGGTTACGTCCCAAACATCCAGGAGATCTTCCAGATCCTCGACAACCATTTGAAGATGAACCAGGTGGATCCCATGAGCTTCTCTTCCTCTTAGGGCTGCACAGGTAAGCACACTGAGAAACATCAGAGGGGGTTAGCCAGGTATGTGAAGCCGAAGGTAGTCTTCAATGTCTCAAACAAGGTTCTCTTGTTACTTTCATCGTCCGTTATGGGTTCATAATATTCTAGTTCCTTCAGTATTTTTGGATTCCGTTATGTTAATGTTTGCTTCGATGTTAAATCCTGCTCCGTAGTCCAGGACTTCACATTAACCCTCTCACCTATGTCTCTTCTCAGCTGTGCTGCGTTCAGGTGTCCCGGCTCAGTGGTACGTTCAGCCGCTGGCGTTCATGAAGGTCCGGCCTTAAAGCAGACTCTGCGGGGCCCGGCTGGATGTCCCCCGCCTCAAAATGAGCGTTCTCTCTGCGCCGGGTCACAACTCGGCACTACAGTACCCATAATGCACCTGTCGGCACAGGTGGAGTCAGCTGTACTCACAGACTGAGGACTCCACTGGTTTATGTTGGTACAGTTTGATTTAATTTATTTAGTTTGAGAATAAAACTACGGTACCACGGATAGCTTCATGCTAGTTAGCCTCCGTCTGGACCAGAAGTAAACAGAAATGTGAAGAATCATTAAAATCTGGTTTATGTAACAAACATCTTCACTGTCAGTTATTTTTTTAATGTCTAAAATGTGTGAAACAAGAATAAAACTAACCACAAGTTTGTTTCTGACTTTAAATTCACATGAACTTTTATTGTGTTCCTGTTTTTATTTCACTACTGATTTAATTAATTAATGCTGATAGTTTACATGTGCAGGTAGATAATAGGTGAGTGTCTGGTAGTTTACATGTGCAGGTAGATAATAGGTGAGTGTCTGGTAGTTTACATGTGCAGGTAGATAATAGATGAGTGTCTGTTAGTTTACATGTACAGGTAGATAATAGATGAGTGTCTGTTAGTTTACATGTACAGGTAGATAATAGATGAGTGTCTGGTAGTGTACCTGTGCAGGTCGATAATAGATGAGTGTCTGGTAGTTTACATGTGCAGGTAGATAATAGATGAGTGTCTGTTAGTTTATATGTACAGGTCGATAATAGGTGAGTGTCTGTTAGTTTACCTGTGCAGGTAGATAATAGCCGAGTGTCTCTGTACCATTAATGTATGAAAGATGTGCAACATTCAACAGTTTGAATTGAGTTTCTAGATTCAGTTAGTGGATCATATTTCAAAATGCACTAAAATTGTTGAATTCTTTACATTACTTCCATTTTAAATGGGGAATGTTTACTTAAATAGCTGGTAGAATATTATTTCTGGAAATATGAAAGTGGTGTTTGATAAAAGTGAGAGCTGAACATTTCGATATTTTAATGACGTTTCTACGTTGAAACACATGGAAGAATTTATTTGCCGGATAACTAGGCGGAATGACAATAATAAGGTTTTCTACCGTTTAAACATGATATTTAATCAGCTATTCACAGAGTGAAACAGCAGGTGGCGGTAATGTGCCTGTAACTCTGACTACCAGTTTCCGTTACGGGCGAAGAAGAAGGAGCAGAAGAAGAAGAAGAAGAAGAAGAAGAAGAAGAAGCCGAAGCCGAAGCCTCTAACAGGCGGTAGAAGTTAGCATCGGCTGTTGTTTGGGGATAAATCCGTTAGATTATTGTTTAATATTTAATTGTGTGAACGTTAAAGCAGCTGAACACCAGTATAACAGGAGAGAAACACTGACGGTGAGTGAAGACAGCGTCTAACTGATGCTAACTATGCTAACGGATGCTAACTGTCATGCTAACTGTTACCGGTGTCGTGTCTAAATCAGTTTCATCTCCCCGAAGTAAAAGTATTTATTTAAACTAACTTAAATGAACGTTTAACGTCAGAAAGACAGGAAACACTTTTCTTAAGGTAATGGATTCAAACACCTTCAGCCGGTTTAACTTGTCATGTACGTGAGGCGATAAACGAGGTCTAGGGAATGAGTCTATATATATATATATATATATAT